AACCAAAAAATATACGTTTTAAAGGTTGTTTCTTAATATCTAGGTACATTATCACGACCATGTTTTTAATCTATGGCCCCGCGATAAATGCTTTCTGCGACCGGCAGAAGCTCCTGAATAAATAATTAAGCACAAATAACGCGCCAAAACCTCTAACGTCCCTCTTTCTCCCAGTTTTACATATTCAACGGTCGTACGAGAGCCCGCATTGTATTGTGAACCAATTTTCTGATCCACTGACCTCGGCAGAACTAAAAAACTGTAAAAAGAAGACATTGGATCACAACTCGAGCCTCCACCGCCAATCTTAGCTGACCCCCGCACGCCGCCCGCTCTTGGAAAACTGAATTCCACATACAATTATAATGAGCTATGGCGGCTCAAGATATACTGGTCTTTTGGAAGCTTATCGAAAGATGCAAGAGATACGTGTAAAAATGGCCGCCAAAATTGGATTATTTTTTATTCAAAACCTCGAAAGTAACGTTATTTTCCAATAAAATTACGAAAAGATGTTGCTAGATTTTTTTTCTAGTCTAGTTATTTTACAGAATCTTAATCAATACTTAACTTATTTTAATGCAGACTGCAGTTGCACACAACCAATAGTAAAACCTTACTAACTACGTAAGTACCTATAGCTCGTAATATTGTTTACGTACACATAAAAGTTCTCAGTAATGCAATAAGTAATGTGAGCAGGCCCCCCACTAGGTGAACCGACGATCTGGTATAGGTCGCGGGAGGTGCCTGGTAGCGGGCGGCGCAGGACCGTTCGTTGTAGAAATCCTTTGTCCAGCAGTGGACGTCATTCGGCTGAAACGAACGAATCCAATAAGTGAATAGTTTTCAAGACTAGGAAATATTAATAACCTAGATTCAGACAAATCCTAAAACTTGATCGATTGCCTCAGATTGTACTTGAACCCGCGACCTTTGGCCTGGGTGAATGCTCTGACCACTGAGCTATGGAAACATTTTTAACCTGTAGGTACAATAGTTATAGTTCACGATAAAAATTCAGTCTGGAAATAATTGGGGGAGAAAACCTTTTAGTGGAATCCTATGGCTGAAATACCTAATGATGATGACACATACATCCCGTAGAAATCATAGGTATTTTTAAGTGGATCCTCCTTGAACAAGTTAAAAAAAAATATTTGAGTAAGTCCCCTTGGATAAATCCCAAAAAATTGAATAAATACAACGATCGGTCCTGCGCTGCCCGCATCCAGGTGCTTCCCGTGACCTTCAAACAGACAGATCGTCGGGGCTTCGCAGACACGATTCAAATTCAAATCTTTATTTGCATACCTAACCTACCTATTAAACATTCACAAGGTTTAAAGTATGATTTTGTGGAAATCCTTGAGGCCTTTGTCCAGCTGTGGACGTCTTTCGGCTGAAACGAACGAACGAAAGTACATATTATTTGTAGCTGACCGACTCCATTTTATACTCCATACGACGCGGACGTGTCGTCACGAAACAACACTAAATTCTATGTATTTGGGTCATTCTACGATAGGGTAGGTGGAAAGAAAAAAAAAGTAAAATCCACTTTTTTAATTATTTATGGTATCAAAAATATTTGTCTTACATAAAGAATCTTATAAAAAATAACGACAGAGATCAAACTTAATTATTCAATTTTAAAATGAACTTTTTTTAAATAATGAGATAGACAGAAGTGACCTTAAAATCGACAAATGTGACACTTTGTGTTGTAGGTCCTAAGAATATAAAAATTAAAACAAAATCAAGCCGTAATATTATAGCCTTTAACGTTAAAAACTAGTTCTCAGTTTCAAATAATTCAAGGTAATCAATAGTTTAGAATTAAAAAAATAAGAAACAATGTCGTCAGAAAATAAATCATTTCTGTCGACGAATCAAAAAATAGCCTCATCACTAGACGATGACATTAAATGAATGCGTTTTTGTTTTGCGAAATTAGGAAGATCGTCAAATACTTCAAACTGAGTCTCAGAAATGTTTTATATAAATAAAAAAATTTTGCATGCTATCTTCATGCATGGCAATATTAACAGAGCGATCACAACAAATACGTTTCGTTCTACCGATTTTGTAATAAAATGTATAAAAAAAGTAAAAATATAGCACAAAAAAAATCACAAACTACTCTTTTTTGTTTTGAAATCACTAATGTTTCATGTTATAAAAAGTAATTGCATTTGCAATTTCTCACTGCTAACAATCATGTTTTTATTGAATAATTTTCAAAGAACGAAACGCTCTCTTGATAGATTTGACCAAATATCGAGCCCTAAAGTCGTAATAATTATGCATAACTGGCAGAAAAAAGTTAAACAATCATGTTTCTGTCTGATAGCGCTATTTTAAAATTCTTTAATAATTTAGACGGAAGCATGGATAATTGTAGTGCCACGATGTCACAGACAGATACGTACATATCACACACACAATAAAACACCCTTCTGTTTGAGTCAGGAATTGAAAACAATATTAAAAGCATGAATATATCATTTCCGTCGACAAAACCATAGACAAGTGTGACATAGACAGAAATGACAATTTGAAGTAATTTGAAAATTGTGGTTTTAATTTTGCAGTTAGATTGTAAATAATCTAGGCACAGTAAATAGTTCCACATTTGAACAAGGGCATGTGATAAAAACATCTCTAATAAGTAACATATTTTAATTATATGTCTTTTAGAAGTGACACTTCAACTTTGAGATGATGTAGAACCACTCTTAAAATATAATTTACTGGTGCAATACTCTCTTTGCAGAAAAAAATGTCTCTGTACAATAACAAGTGGGTTAAGGGGTTGTCATAAAATATAAATTAATGTTCCCACCATTAAATTTTCTTCATCTTTTGGTAGAAACTTCAACAGTCGACAGGTGTGTCAAAAATCTTATAACAGTTGTAGAATCGTCGGTAGTTTCTTATTTTCAGATCTAAATTTATTGATATTTAATAGATATAGTCTTGAGTATGTCTGGTTTACTAATCACGACTTGTTATCCTATTTTAATGAACGGGTTTTTTTTTTGCAGGTATGCAAACATGAAAAGCCGTGTTCATAACAGTCGACAGAGCGTGATATGTCACATACTGTCGGCAGAAAAAATCTAATAAAACAAATGTCTTTTATGTTTCTTCACATATTTTTTGAAGCTACTAAGTACACTTTTGCTTATAGAAGTTCATAACTAAACGAAGACAAATTATTTTACAAGTAATTTCACCTGAACAAAAAAACGGCCTCTTCGTAGAATGACCCATTTCTATGAAATACCATTGGTAGTTGGTGACACGTTGTCTGAAGGTAGTAGGTACATAAGAATTAAGTACATAGAAACGGTGCGGGGGTGGCGTGGCGACACACCGTCTGAACTGCTGCGGCGTGAAGTCACCTACTAAGTAAATACAAAATGTTTACTACGAACCATAACTATCTTTACCCCTATTCCCTATTATCTCATAGTAAACCTTTTTACTACGAACCATAACTTCTAACTTCTATGTTCTTCTGATACTTTCGTTGAGGGTCCAATGAGGCCCAGAACAGACGGTTAAACGCAACTGCAACGAAACTGCAACTTTCTGATGATTCTTATGAATGAAACTGAAACTGAAAGTTTCAAACTGGTCGCGTCATGTGTGGTCTCTCAACGGACGCTATGACTTAGATGCAACTCAAAAGTAACTAAGTAGCAGTTGCAGTTGCAAACTTAGAATGACTTAGATGCAACTTAAAAGTAACTAGCAGTTGCAGTTTAGTTGCAGTTGCGTTTCACCGTCTGTTCTAGGCCTGACAGTTTAACTTTCCCCCGGGACAAAGACCTACACTGGTTGGGCTATTGGCGGCCAAGCTGTAGATCCTGGCTACACACAGGAGATGCAGCGGTATGAACGAGAGGTGGAATAGTCCCGTTACTAACTACCTGAGACCTGACCTGGCAAATTTCGTACCACTCATGTTCACAACTAATACAGGATTCTGAACTTTTAGAATCCTTTTACTTGCAGGAATATTTAAATTCGAGTTGGAGCCTATGCAATACAAACAAACAATCAAAACTTTCGTCTTTAAAATGGGTATTAATGTAAATAAATAAAAGCATTCAATTTCGCTGCAAACAGTAAGTAACTATTGCTTTGGTTTTCACCACTTTCAAACCAGTATTAACAGGCAAGTAGGTTTAAGATAACCTCATTATTCAAACTCCATTCACAAAAAACACCGATCAAGTAAACAATCAGGTGTAAAACCGTGTCATAACAAAACCATTGCGTTTCTATTTCCTTTAATTTCACTATTTACGCTTTCGTCGGCAAATCGTGCGGAACCCTCGCGGCGATAATGGATTTCAGAGTTAGGCGTTTTGTCACCGCGGCCGCGAGTGCAGGCCAATGACCTGAATAAATTGCAGATTTCATTGGTTACAAGTTTACAATAGTGTAACGAATGCGAAAGTTTTTTGTTTTCGATCTAAAAAAACCAGAGGCTAAGCTGTGACATCGTACCTAGGTACTTGTGTTTGTAAGAGGTGTTTTATTCAGTAAAAATTCATAATCTGTTCAGAAGTCGCGTCTCGCGATACATTAGCTATCAATTTTAATGAAACGATTATACATTGTGACGATGACGATTTTAACCCTGACCCTGTTTTATGCAAATAAATAAATTTGAATTTGAATTTGAATTTAAAAAGATCAAAGCTGGAATCAAACTTGGGACTTTCTACATCCAACCAATCCAACATGCCACAGCAGTGGAGCTACAAGTTAACAGTCCGAAATTAGCTATACAACTTTTTGCTTTAAAAATAAAATTATTTTGAAACGGCTAAAACTGCAAATGATACAGAATATGTCTTTAAATAATATTTTGTGATTAACAAGTAATATCTAAAATTCACGGATATGAAAATTACCACAAATAAAATAATTTCTACAAACTGCATTGACCAATCGGAACGTGTCCGTCATCTGTCAATGTCAAAAGTTTCACAGTTGTCAAAATTTATTTACATGTACACGTCAGTATTATTGTGGGATTTTTTGTGTAAATGTGGTGTAAATTCTAGAAAAAATACTAACAAGTTTAGTTTAAATTCCTCTGATTTATTGTTAAATAAACCTTTTTCGACCACGATAAAGTACTGCATCTTGTTGAATTTAAACATTGTGCAATAGTTGCAAACGCGGGCATTATCTCAGTGTTTTCCGCTTGACCTCAGGTTTTAAACCCACGCAATGGATCCCGAATACGAGGAACGACAGAACTACTACTCACTTAATCCTTTTACTTATGGTAAGAATTTGCTGTTTATAAAGTCACTTTACAGGACATAAGTTAATGTTAAGTTCTTTTACCAAGTTACACATTACCTTGATCAGAAAGTATGGTTTTTATCATCCTGAACATCCTTAGTTCAACTCCTTTACTCCACATTAGGTTCAAGGACGTGGTATAACTGTTATAGTTTGCAAATTGCTTGGGCTTAGTTAGTTCAGAATTAACTTGGCAATTTACACTATGAATGAAGATGAGAGTATAAACATGGGAAATATTATTAACAAACCACACATTATCGTTCTGCAACTGTTCTTGCCTAGCAAATGCCACCAACATATAAAAAAACCATCATTTAATCATTCATTTTGGTCAAATACGTGCACAGCTGGGCCAAAGCCTCCCTCAAGGATTTCATTTCATTGATTAGTTCTATGCTGCCCGCATCCAGGTGCTTCCTGCGACCCACTAGTTCATCGGTCCACCTAATAACGAAAGTAATTTCAGTACATAGGCCCTTTCCACTTATACACATCCCAAATATAGCTTGCTCTACCACCACTTCGGGACAACATATAGGCTGGTGCTGAGATTATATATAGACATAGTTATAGACATAGCGTCCGGTATACCCCAGGGTAGTGTCTTGGGGCCCGTGCTGTACCTATTGTTTACCGCAGACCTGCCAACAACTACAAATACATTCACAGGCACCTTTGCTGACGACACGGTAACAATGGCAACACACGACGATCCAGTCACGGCCTCACTCTATCTCCAGGAAAGCCTGACGGAAATGGAGAAATGGTACCATTCATGGCGTATTAAAGCTAATGGAGAAAAATCTGTGCATGTAACCTTCACTCTCAGAAGAAACTCCTGCCCACCGGTCAAACTTAATGGTATCCAAATACCTCAGGCTGAGGACGTTAGGTATCTGGGCTTGCACCTGGACCGCAGGCTAACCTGGAGAAAGCATATATGGACAAAGAGGAAGCACCTAGATGCCAAACTAAGAAACATGATGTGGCTTGTCGGAGGCCAGTCACAGCTGAACACCAGTAGCAAAATGATGGTCTACAAAACCATCCTTAAACCTATCTGGACCTACGGGATACAGCTGTGGGGAACAGCTGCCAACTCCAATCTCGACATAATCGAGCGCTTTCAGACAAAAGCCATACGTTTGATTTACCAAATCCCATGGTATATCAGCAACAAGCTCATCTATCAGGACTTGCCATTGCCCACAGTCAGAGAGGAAATAAAGAGCCACACACTCCGCTACAAGGATAGACTTTCAAATCATCCAAACTCTTCAGTACAACAACTCATGACCATTGAAGGCTTCCTATTCAAAAAAAAAAAAAAAAAAAAAAAAAAAAAAAGTACATAGGCCCTTTCCACTTATACACATCCCAAATATAGCTTGCTCTACCACCACTTCGGGACAACATATAGGCTGGTGCTGAGATTATTATCGGGGAGCCAGTCGTGGTTGCGCCGAATTTTGTCAGTGTGTGTGTGCGTATATTGGCACGCTCACATACAAACTGCGCTCGGTGCGTTTCTATGAAGATAACCTACTCATTTGTATTTACTCTGCTTATTCTGAGCAGATGCCATTTTGATGCCTGTACCCGTTCTGTTGTCTAGCTTTAGTTATTGTTTTGTTGTGTACTTGCACCGAATCCCATCCCAACTAATATTATAAATGCGAAAGTAACTCTGTCTGTCTGTCTGTCTGTTACGCTTTCCCGCTTAAACCTCGCAACCGATTTTGATGAAATTTGGCATAGAGATAGTTTGAGTCCCGGGAAAGAACATAGGATAGTTTTTATCCCGGTATTTGAAACAGGGACGCGCGCGATAAAGTTTTTCTGTGACAGACAAAATTCCACGCGGGCGAAGCCGCGGGCGGAAAGCTAGTAAACAATAATTTCTTTCTTTCTTTCTTTTAGTGCTGCGGTTCCTAGCTTTGTACGGCTGGTACGCCATCGGCGGCGCGGCGGCGCTGCTGTGCGCTGCCACTTGGCTGCGGCCACGCTACCGCCGCTGGCTGGAGGCCAAGGAGGACGCGGAGTACCATAAGAGTGAGTGTAGATCATCATCATCATCATTTGAGCCATAGGATGTCCACTGTTGAACATAGGCCTCCCCCAATGCTTTCCATGTTGATCGATTGGTAGCGGCCTGGGTCCAGTGCTTCCCTGCTACCTTTATGATGTCGTCGGTCCCACGCTGCGTTTTCCGGTACGCGGCCTCCATTCCAGAACCTTGCTGCCCCATCGGCCGTCAGTTCTGCGTACTATGTGCCCTGCCCATTGCCATTTGAGCTTGCTAATCCGTCGAGTGTAGATCAGTTGACAGCATATCAGACTACACACGTTTCGTTGCAAAATAGCCTGTATTACAATGAGATAATGAGTGCGGTATTCGATTGCCCTGCAAAACTAACTACAATGAGATAGGAGGCCACTGTGTGTTGCTGGATTTGCTGATATCTGTGCATATTACCAGAACTTCAGATGTGTGTTTGTCTTCTTTGCAACCTCAAACGGTTGTGGCAGTACAATCAGGCTTCTAAAGGTCTTGAAACTCAGAGCAATTGGATATTTTTAGTATGCATGACATAATCAATCATGCGTTTGAATCCCAGTGCTCTCAGTTTCTAACGTAATGGTATAGTTGATGCAATTCACGAAGGCGAGTGAGCTGTACATGTGTGGTGGCTCGCTACTGTTTGTTTTTTATGTTTTGACAGACATTACACTATTGTTATAAGCATGTACACGTACACACACAAGTAAAGCTAACTCGCCTTCATGAGTTGCACTTGCAAGAACTGTAAATATATGAATGTTAAAAGTTACTCATCCCAATACAATTCATAAGGTGAACCATTGTAGTTCAGTATTGTTTAATTAAAGGAATCCTATCTTTCTCCAGACCCTGACAAAGCCATAGCGCGTATGGAAGCGATCCAGCGCGCACGTGAGAAGCAGCAGGAGCTTCTGCTCAGCGCTTCACAGAGGGCGTTAGAACAGCAGAAGGAGGTAAATATAGCAAAGAAAATTATTGCATTTGAGATATAAATAATGTTTTTTTTGCGCTCAACTGCAATCAGGCGATTATCACACTGCACCGCACTCCACGTGGCGACATATACGAATCCCGCGCGCAAACGCGTTGCCAGTGTGTTGTGCCGCGCGTGTTTTCTATACAAACTGAGGTACTTGCATATAATGATTAAATCTGTCGTCCCGCGTACCGCGTCGGAGCGCGGTGCAGTGTGATTATCGCCTCAGTCCCAAACTATAAGCAGATTTGTTCCATGAAGTTTTAACATGTTCAAGGAGCTCCCCAGCAGGATACTCCTCATTAACCATCTGTCACTGAGTATATCGTGGCGCTTCAGTCGTTTAGTGTAGCTGATGGTTGCCAACGCGGTAGTCAATTGATTTTGGTGACTTTGTCAGCTTTAGCTCCTTCCTAACAGTTCTCATGCTCAGAGCTTCATGGATTTGTGTTGGTAGTGAACTATAGTGCATTTGAGATTCAATTAAGGTTAAAAAAAATAATAAGGTGTCAATAATACATTTGTGAACGTTCCTTCCAGCGTGAGGAGCGCAAGAAACAGGAGAATTTGGAGAGGCTGAAGAAATACGGCGCCGCCGCCGGCGGACAGAAGCTCGGCACGCCCGACGACGGTGAGCATTATGTCGAAGCTATCATCAGTAGGTCAATTAGTCTCCTCTGCAGGAGCATGTCCTGATAGATTTATTTATATATTTATTGTAGGAATTACAAACAAATGTGTTACAGAAATTAACGTATCTACTAGACTTATGTATTATTTATGTGGTAACACATCCCACTACGTAATCCACATATTGATATATGAAACCATGTTATATAGTTATATGTTATATGGTTATATAGAGCGAGGCAATTACAATTAAGGTACACCTTATAAACGCGGTGTAGCTCAACACCAAGAAGTAATTAATATTATGTTCAGACTTTTAATTATTAATTTTGTTCTGTTTTTTTATTCATTTAATTTATTTAGATCAGAGGTAAATAGAGGATTTGGCCTACTCTTCCCACGCTGGCCAGATAGAACCACCTTTTAAACAACAACAAAGAGAAGAAAGGGAATGTTTTATTCTGCCAGAACCACAAGGCATAATAATTAAGACTAATTTTTTTTTACCCGACTGCGCTAGGAGGGTTATGTTTTTCGAGTGTATGTATGTATATTTCTTTGGCACGGTCTACAGCCTAAAAATCAGATTTTTATGTACATATAATATTTGGGCAATAATTAGAAGTATTTTCCCCAACAGCCCGACAGTTTTGACAGTTCCAACTCCTTACCAGACAGTTTTTTTAGGGTAGTTCCCAAAGCCACGATGACCCAAACTTCATAATTCACCAACATTATTCCTATATTGGGAGCATACGCTGACAAACTTTCAGCTTTTATAAAATGACGTAGGTCTGGCGTTCACTAGCTCTTACTCTATTGTGTATGTGTCTTGTTATCTATCCATAAATAAATACTTTTGTTCTAGATTACTTGCCTCTGAGTGGCGGCGCGTCCACGTCATCCTACCGCCCGCCCAAGCGCTCGGCGTGCGGCGGCGGCGGCTGCGGACGGTAGGGCGCCGCCCGAGCGATGGAGGGGCTTGTGGAGGGGGGTGGGGGATAGTTGACAGCGTGCATCAGTAGGAGGGGGGAGGGATAAATTGTCAGCAAAAATAAATTTATGTTGAATTATTAACAGAAAATACTCTAGTAATAAATAAAATAATAGAAGTGCTTTTGCACACGCCGCCATTCGCACTTCGATATATTCATTCATCTCTTTCTCTAAGGGGATTATCACACTGCACCGCGCTCCGCCGCGGCACGCGGGACGACAGATTTAATCATTGTATGCAAGTAGCTCAATTTGTATAGAAAACACGCGCGGCACAAGACACTGACAACGCGTCTGCGTGTGGGATTTTTTGTATGTAATCACACGGAGCGCGGTGCAGTGTGATAATAGTCTGACTGAGGGAAACTAATGATTGTAATATGAGACAGAAAGATTTGTCAAAATTATATTGCATAGCAGTTCAGTTATGTTTATATTGGTGTTACTTAATTATTTAACTTTAACTAATGTTCGTTCGAGATCTGTTATGTACTTGACTGACTAAAAAACTAGTCAGCAGAAACTTTTTGTATATTATTATTACTTAGCAATGTGACGGGTGTTCAGTATTGTAATAAAGCCATAAGACTATTAAATCTTTTGTTTTTCTTGTTTTCAACTTTCAAATTCAACGAGTTTTTTTTAAAAAGCGAACATAATGAATGAATTTATTACCTTTCGTGTGTTCGGACTTTGGGCAACATCATTCTTTCATCTGTATCACTCCAGCAGACTAGCATATCATCTACTTCTAAAGTCCGGTCGCCGAGCAGATAGACGCCAAGCTACCCATCCTTATCGCTCGCGCGTAATTATATTGCTGTTGCGAGTGTGCGAGCGCGACAGCAATAATATTTACGCGCGAGCGATAAAGATGGGTAGCTTGGGGTCATTGGACGAAATTCTATGTGCTCGGCGACCGGACTTTAGTATGAAGTTCTGAAATGAAACAAGAAATGTACAAAATAGTAATTTTATTATCGTTTGGTATCACCTCAACGACGCGCGCCGGTATATGTACAGGGCGCTGCTAACTTAACTTACATGTCACAGATATCAAAATTGGTTTGTTCTTACCTACCATAAAGTTTATATACCTAGCGGAATAGAGCAACAGCACTAAGCGAGCGAGATGTCACTAGCAGTAACACTGTGTGATAAAAAGAGATGCGTGATGCCGTCACCGCACGTCAAACAGAACCGTTTTTTGTAACTATTTGACAGTTCGTTAGCACTTATTGGCACGTTGAAGATGAGATTTTTTCAGATTTTACGCGAGTGAAGTCGTGAATATTTATGAGAAATGTGCTTCAGAAACGTGGTGACTGGTTCTTTGATTGATTATTGCACAAAACAGAGAAATAATCCTGAAAACTGACACACAAATGACATCCTAAAATCGGTGTCGTTTGACAGCTCGTGGTTGTTGCTCTATTTCGAAGGAATATCAACTTTATGTTAACTACGCTATAATGAACATCGCAGAGTTCTGCCAACTCAACACAGACGGAATTTAACATTGTCAGTATATTTGCAAAACTACCTACCTACATAAAGGTGAAAGCATATCTATCGACGCGAAAATCTTTTTCAGTAAAATTTCATTGAATTTTATTTAAGTGTAGACTTCAGATTCTGCGGGTAGGTATGCGTTCACCTTAACACGTAATAGGAATAGAGTACAAAATACTAATTTGGTATAAATTCAGTGGGTTGCCACAAGAGAAAAACAAAAAACTAACAATCATGAACTAAAAAGTTTTGGTCTTTTTTTTTCATTAGCAATTAATGCCTGATTAAGCCTAAATACAATGTTAAGTTTCGTCTAAAGCCTGTGTTATGAAACTTAACTGAAGTATGAATCTACACAAAAAAAAGATTCAAGGCTGATTGTAGTGTGAGCGAATATTTAGCCAATCCATTTTTGAGTTTGAATTGTCGAGAAAGGTTTCATAATACAGGCCCATAACTGCCTTACCCCTCCCATAAGGCATAGCTGGTGGTAATTTCATTGCTTTAAGACCTTAAGACTAGTAGACAAGGCTCAAAATATATTGACTACAACATCCCCGTCGTCGTATATTGGCTTATTTCTAAATTTTAATAAACACGATGCGATTCAACGCACAAAACAAATATTTTTCAAAGTTTTTTTACATACCTACAAATCACAAAGTTCACACTGGTGAATTTTCTCACAAAAACCAGTGCTAAATTCTAAACTTGACAGCTAAAATAAGTGTTGTCCTGTTCTATCGTACATAAAAATGAAAAGAACAACACTAGTTCTGCCGTTTTCTTAACCAAATGATTGCAATATTTTCATTTTGACTTCAATTGATCACATAGTGTTGCCAGTACACAAAATACAACTTACTCGACTATAGATACATAATTTTACAATACTTAGGAAACTTATAATTATCTATTGAGTAACTATAAAATAAATAGGTACATTTAGACGATACAATTTTGTGATTATCATAATATTGCTTACGCATGGCCAAGCGAGTCGATCGACTCAGAAAAAGTCAAACAAAAGCATGTATATAATTTTGAAATGTCAAGTGTCAAAAATCAAAAACTGACAACCCAGTATTGATAGTAGCGCCCCCTGACAATGTCATAGCTGCAACGGTTCAGTTTAAGACATCTATACAAGTTAATTTACTAGCGTGTCCACATCAAACTTTAAATTATAGAAAGTTTCATCCACGAAGACACGCCCCACCAATTATTGGTCTCGGTCGCGCGGGGTGCGGGGAGTTTAATCTGAGCAATCCGTAAGGCATTATTGAAGTGTGCGTGTGCACTCATGGATGATTTAGCGTGTACCGATAACACTCAAACATTAGCGGCAGAATGGTGGGGCGCGTTTTCGTGGATGAAACGATCTGTACCTACATTTCCATGCAGTAATGACAGAATGTGCTGTACTTTTTAACCTTGAATTTATTAATCTAGCAACATAGATGAAATATAAATCGAGAAAAGGATGGTACGGCCGTGCCGCTTTTTTGCTCGCAGTGCCCCCAGATATTGTAGCTATTCCATGTTCATATTTGACGTTTTCTGAATCGATTTTCATTCCGTACCTCCTTTACTATCGGACGACAAGAGATCGAGACAACGAAACGACGCAACGTCGCGCTAAGTCGATTCGATTAAGGTACATTCACACTACCACGCATGTAACAGTAGCTAGACAAAGTGACATTCGCGACAGATTAAAATTCGTTTCGCTAAATGTGACAACTACGTAGCAATGTGAACACACCTTTATTCGCTACGGTTACTTAATAAAAATAATAACTAACGATCATACATTTAGCTAATCATTAAGATGAGAAATAATAATGTCAAATTATTTAAATAATTATTACTATTATTTAAAGCACAACTGTAAGTCTCGTTGCAATTTACATAATCTTAACATTTTTGTGCTATTTTGTACGCGATATGGGTAATCTAGCGACATAATTGAAATAATAATTAATTATTACACTAATTAAATTAAGAAACAACCTACATTTTGATTAAGAGAAATAAAAGAAGTCGCGAGAGGCACATGTTTTCATGTGGGCGTGGCTATCATGCCATCTCACTCTTTATAGAGTGAGTGAAAGAGAAAAAAACGCGAACACACATGACGTAGGTAACTGTCTAAGTAAAGTTAAGTTAGTAAATATTTATAAAAATAAGAAGTATTTGAACTTAAAATTGTTTTTAAGGTAAATACTTTTCGGATGCTTCTTGAACAAATTATTGATTTACAACGTATTCCATAAAAGAAACAAATCAACAGCTGTTGTTCTTGGTTTGACTCCACATTGTTTTTATTTCAATACACAAATACATAATGTAAAGTCATCAGATAACCTCCACATGTCAAATTATCTACATTAATTTTTAACCTTAAACTTAGAACATAAAGTTACAAATCCATTAGGGAAAAATATTACGTTACTAAAGTATAACTGTTTCTCATAAGGCATAAAATCAAACTTAAATGATTACATCGATTTTAATTTTATTTAAAAAACTTATTGATTTGCTGATCAATAATTGAGCGGCTTACGTCTAAATCTTCATTAATTTGTGTCAAAAATAAATTGCATTGTAGTCTAAATAGAAAATATTTTCGTCTATTATACACACTTATAAGTGTACGCTTATGTGATGGGAAATCAATTACAAAGTGAAATTATAATTTGTAAAAAAGAAACACTACCCCACCTTCATAAAAACAGGATTATTTGCTTTAAACTCGGTATAGATTGAAGTCGATGGAAGATAGTGTTATAAATTAATTATGTACAAAGATTATCAAGTTATATTACATTAAATTCGAGTTGAACACCGCGCGCGAACACAACGACTGATTACAAAGACTCGTATTTATTTAACAAATTACACATTAATATACCTACAATCTGAAAAACATCAATCTTTTAAACTGCGATCTCCAACCCGCCTGCCAAGCGTGGGGATTATGGCAAAACCCTCCACTATAGTGGAGGAGGCTCATAGTCCAGCAGTGGACTGTAAAGGGCTGTTGATGATGATGATACCTACAATCACGCAATATTACAGTGTCAGTAGTGATAAGAATTTGATCTTTTTCGAGAGATATACTTGCTGTTGCAGTGGTCTGTAGAATATGATTAGAACATTTAAGTTCAAGTGTCATAATTAAAACCACTTTGGGTTTTCGATTAAAAACCACTTTGGGTTTTCGATTAAAATCCATGGCACAAAATTTACGGTGCCCAGCTGTGGTGTTAGATGTTTGTAACCATGAAAAAGCTTCTGCATTTCGCGGTAGTTAATGTGTTGTTTAGCAAGTAGACGATACCTCCAATCGACATAGGTACTTTTTATGAGCTGTCAAAAGTCACTTTTTGCTGTTTGATCGATTTGAAGGCTAATAAAATGTTTTTTATAAAGTCATGTCTTGGAATTTATTGGTTTAACTGTTGACTTACCAATTGAGACTCCGTCGTGCGTAAGTTTAAGCAAATCGTAAAAGGTCAAGAAAGATACAGAATCTGCCAATTCTTTAGTAATTTGATCGTTTACCACCTTCTGATAAAGTATCTATTGGGCACTTATCTGACAAATAGTCATTAGTTATAACCCGTTTCTTTTTAGAAACGTGTATCAATTAACCTTAAACCAGATCGAATATCTGTGATTATTGTTTTCCGTTGAGTGCACGAGCACTAAACATTCATACGTTCATTTGTTGGCAGTGTGAAGCCCGTGTTGCACACACGAGCGTAAAAATGCATACACTAAGTATTTTAATCCGCTGTAATAAGGTTTAAGGTCTAATGTGATCAAAACAATTTGTTTCACTCACACAACAATCCGCGTGCTTTCGCCGTGAGTTTTCTAGCGCGATCCCTGGACGAAATCGTAAAAGTTTTCCCTAGTCTGTAGCAAACTTCAGTGGGTCATGTTATGTGCTTCAGGAAGCACAGAGGGACTGAGGCGCCCGTCGGCTGGCAGTGCGTAGTACCTTTCGACGTGTGTCACTCACATAATAGTCCGCGCGCTTTGGGCGTGAGTTTTGTAACGCGACCCCTGGACGAAATCGTAAACACAGTGTCTTCGCTAGTCTCTAGTAATTTCAGTGAGTCCCTGTTATGTGCTTGTGGAAGCACAGAGGGACTGAGGCGCCCGTCGGCTGGCAGTGTGTAGTACCTTTCGTGTCACTCACATAATAGTCCGCGCGCTTTAGCAGTAAGTTTTCTCACGCGACCCCTGGACGAAATTGTAAACACAGTCTTCGCTAGTCTGCAACTTCAGTGTGTCCCTGTTATGTGCTTCAGGAAGCACAGAGGGACTGAGGCAGCCGTCGGCTGGCAGTGCGTAGTACCTTTCGTGTCACTCACATAATAGTCCGCGAGCTTTGGGCGTGAGTTTTCTCACGCGACCCCTGGACGAAATCGTAAACACAGAATCTTCGCTAGTCTGCAACTTCAGTGTGTCCCTGTTATGTGCTTGTGGAAGCACAGAGGGACTGAGGCGCCCGTCGGCTGGCAGTGCGTAGTACCTTTGAACGTGTGTCATTCACATAATAGTCCGCGCGCTTTAGCCGTGAGTTTTCTAACACGACCCCTGGACGAAATTGTAAACACAGAGTCTTCGCTAGTCTCTAGTAACTTCAGTGTGTCCCTGTTATGTGCTTGTGGAAGCACAGAGGGACTGAGGCGCCCGTCGACTGGCTGTGTGTAGTACCTTTGTGCCGCAGAGGGCGTGTGTCACTCTCGTAGGAGGCCTCGCGCTTTGGGTGTGAGTTTCCGAACGCGACCTCGGGATGATATGGATACGGCACTGGTTGAACCTGGAAGGAATTGAGGGTAGTCAAAAAACTGCTGAGGTTTGTAGTTCGATCACTGTCGACTGGACTATTATGGTGAATTTATACATAACACAAGTATACGGGGTGTCAAGCCGGTGCCAGGTAATAGATGTGCATTATATCGACAATCGATTGAATCCCCATGTATGTTCAGCGATTTTGCTAAGTTTAGGAGTTATAATCAGTGCCGTATTATCCATAAGGCACTTTAGGCCAGTGCCTAGGGGCCCACCATGAACAGGGGCCCAGCATTCCCGATTAAAAAATGAAAAAAAAAAAGTTAAAGATTATTTTTATGCAACAAAACTCAAACCACCTCAAAACTTCGCCTTATTTTGGTTTGTTTACACATTCAATAGTCATATTTCGATATTGTGGAAGCTAATTCATTTTCGTAACTTTGGCATTACTGCTTTGGTTTACATGACAGGTCGACCGTAAGGACGCCCTTCAGAGGCTAAAAAGCCTCACTGCGGAGTAGGGTGGTCCTTATTTTTCGACTTTTGATTTCTCTCCGGGGCACTTTCTCATTCGATTATATACCTCTAAATATGAAATTAGCTCTTTTTGTTTTTTTTTTTGTTAAGATTTAGAGGTCGCTACCAGCTGTCAAAATATTTGGGTCATTCCACCGGCCAAGAAAATCACGTGTCCGGGGCCAAAAAGTACCCGAAAATCATAATATTTTAGTAACAAATATTTTTATCTAATAGTATAACTTTGGTTCTTGTTGTTAAACCACAGAGATAGTTAATAATAGTTAATTAAGTAATTTTAAAAAAATCGTAAGTCGTCAAAAATCCTGCGCCTCCAGGCTACAGGCTCCGGCACATCCCGCGCCCGCCTAGCGTTCGAGCGCGCGGCGGGGGTGTTGGTTTCTACATACGTAAAGGTGTCTATGCTCGACAAATCAAACCACCAAATATTAATTCTGTAGAACAAATGTGGCTGAGTGTTACTCTAAACGGCCTCAAACTTGCGATCGGAACTGCATACCGACCCCCGTGGCTTAACGTTGACACCTTTATTGATGCACTTACTGAGTCAGTTAGCTCTTTTTCTATGTTTGATCACGTAATTCTCATGGGGGACTTTAATATCAACCTACTTGCTCCTAACGACTCTAACACAAAGAAGTTGACTGCTTTTCTTCAGTATTCTAACCTTGAACAATTCGTTACCCAACCTACACATTTTACAGATCATTCTGAGACTTTAATTGACCTGATATGTAGTTCTTCTAAGATTGTTGACGTTTCCGTTGATTACATCCCAGATCTATGTAATCATGCCTTTATTTCATGCAGATTGCGACATGCTAAACCCAAATTATCCCCTAAGTGGATATATTACAGACCAATTAAAGATATCAACCCGATAGAATTTAACACTTTTATAGATGCAATCCCCTGGGAAAAGTTGTTTAGTGATGATGTAAATGAAGCTGTGTCATCTTTTAATGCTTACATAACACATGTCTATGACATATACGCCCCATACATGCACTCCTGTGTCAAATATCAAAGTTACCCCTGGATAACCCCGACAATTAGGGATATGATGAAACTAAGAGATCAAGCTCACGCCAAAAGTCGTCGCACAAAACAGGATTCGGATAAAAACTACTACAAAGAGTTAAAATCAATAGTAAATAAAGCGATGTATGCTGAAAAAGCAGCATTTTTTCAGCACAATATTAATAGGAATAGTAAAAACTCTAAAGAATTGTGGAAGAATATCAAGAGAAACGTAGTTGATTTTAAAAGTAAGCATAATCCAGTTCCACCTCATATTAATAACCCAGATCTTATTAATAATCATTTTCTTAACCTTCCCGGAAGCAATAGTGTCACTATTTCAGACCTTACGTATTATGAGTATAATCGTTTCAGTTCTTCAAAGTTTAGTCTCAAAGCTGTTGATGAAGATTATATTTTTAAAATAATCTTGAATTTCTCATCCAATGCCATAGGTGTAGACGGAATCTCTCGCGACATGATCTTGTTAACTCTACCTCGAACACTCACAATAATAACGGCAATTGTGAATAGCTCAATCCAGTCTGGCATCTTTCCGGATGTGTGGAAGGAGGCTCTTGTTAAACCAATCCCTAAAAAAGGCAATCCTAACGAGCTTAACGACCTCAGACCCATCAGTATTTTGCCCTTCTTGTCAAAAATCATAGAAAAAACCATTTCCCAACAGCTAACTCAGTTTCTCACTGCTAACAATATTTTACCACAAAAGCAATCGGGTTTTAGAAGTGGTCGCAGCACAGCCACTGCTCTGTTGGATGTGGTGGACGATATTCTGGCGGGACAGGATGTGGGATGTGGGTCTTTCTTGGCCCTTCTTGACTTCTCTCGTGCATTTGATACAATAAACCATAACCTTCTCTTGTCTAAAATGTCATACTACGGTTTTGATGGTGGTGCATTGCGGTGGTTCTATAGTTACCTTAGTGGAAGGTCACAGCGCGTGGAAGTCAGTGATGAAAGTGGAATAACTTATTTTTCGCAATCGGCTCTATTGAGGCGAGGTGTACCCCAAGGTTCCATATTGGGCCCAATTCTTTTTATTTTATATAGTGCTGACTTGGCTAGTAATATCAAACATTGTAACTATCATATCTACGCAGACGATTTGCAAATCTATTTGTCTTTCAAGCCGCATGAAACTCTCGCCGCTGTTGGGAAAATCAATGTAGACCTTGATAGAATTAATGCATGGGCTAATAAAAATTGCTTAGTTTTGAATCCACTTAAATCAAAATTTCTTGTGCTTGGTTCCGACAACCAAATAAATAGAATTAACAACTTCAATCCTAATATTATAGTTAATAATGAGATTCTCCAACAAGTAACTGAAGCACGAAACCTTGGAGTCCTTATGGACAACAGGCTTAGGTTCCACAACCATGTTTTAGAGACGGTTAGGAACTGTTATTATAGGCTCAAAGTATTATACCAAGTACGAAATTTCTTGGATGTCGACTTGAGGGTTAAACTATGTGAATCCTTAGTTTTGTCCAAACTTAACTACGCCGATACCGTCATAGGCGAATGTATCTATGGCTATACCAAGAAAGTCATACAGCGGGTTCAGAATTCCTGTGCCCGATTCTGTTACAACATCCCGCGTAGAGCCCGCGTCTCGCCGTACCTCAATCAAGGAAGCCTACTTAATATGAAATCAAGGCGTGCACTCCATTACGCGTGTTTACTGTTTGGAGTTGTACGTACTAAAAGTCCACCATATTTATTTGAAAAACTTATATTTTCGCATCGGAGTGTGAGGCTTGCTTCACAACTTGGATGTCCGAGCCACAGTACTGCAGCATTTCGTGGTAGTTTCCGTTATTCTGCCACGAAATGCTGGAATAACATACCACCACCTTTTAAAAGTTGTCATTCATTTAATTCTTTTAAATTAAATTATAAAAAGTATCTTTTAAACTTGCAAAAACATACATAATTAACAATAGTAGTACTTGCCTATCAGTCTTAAATGCAATAGACACCACCTATCCCTCCATGTCATAATATAGTCTAAACTTATTTCACCCGTGCATGAGTTGCTTGTTCTTGGTTGTCATCCAATGATTAATATCATTGTTGTCATCTGTCTTCTATTTTATAGAGCTTAGATATAGAGTTTATAAACTGTATAAAAATATGTTCAAGTTTCACATAGGTAAATAATGTTGATTGATGTTTCTGGGCGGGCTGCGCCCTTCTGCTGAACTGGCATCCGCAGAATACCAGTGGTCGTGACGTGCTCTCTGCCGTCACGGCTTATACTGAGCAGATGCCATTTTGGTGCGTGTACTCTGTTTTTAGTGTTTAAGTTGTTATTTATTTGTAACGCTTTTAATACTCGCATCAAATAAATACTTTCTTTCTTTCTTTCTTTCTTTCATAAGTCAAAAATATTAATAAATAATATTGTTGATGTTCAACAATATATTTAAACATTTAACTTATTTATTCACCCAGACTCTTCAACAACAAAATCATTTTCTTTTTTTTCTGCAGAATATTTTAACGAACAACTGCAAATTCCTCAGAAGTATCATTAATGACAAATTAAGTTGAATGAAAATAGGTATGACCTTACGATAAGACCAACGGATCGATGTTTTAGTCATTGAACGTGTCAACAAAATTCAGATTCTCTATTATTAGACTAAGATTAGACATTATTATTTGGCAGCTGAAAATTTTAAATCACTAACATAATAATAATACCAACAGATGTTTGCAGTTGGATTCAGTGAACTCATAACAAATGGAGCTTTATTATCTATTAAATAGCTAAAGTAATACATTATGCAAAAAATAACACATTGCTTAGAAAAGCGCAAAGCAATTTTCACAACTTCCTCTGAACAATAAATAAATGTCGCATATAAAGAACATAAATAGTTGATAACAAAAACAATTGCATTGCGAAATTTGTCGCTCTAGACATGATTGCCTTTCAGTAGCTAGCAAAGAGACAAATTAACCTAGTTTTATTTGAAATAAAATGCTTTTTTATTTAACATTTACATTAGGATGGCATTAATATAACATTGAAATTAAACTGATGAAATAACACGTTATAATCAGAATGTAGCTTAATCGACCTTCAGTCTAGTTAGTGCTCAATATAAAGTGTATTTTAAACATAAATCAGTAACTACCGTCAAATTTTAAATATCATTAATATAATTTAAGTCAAATTATGCGTCGCAAGAACACGTTCTTCATCGGCAATATTATTTGTTTAACTTTCAGAAACCAGACAGCAGCTGTCCAAACTGTATGAGCAAACACGAACGCGAATATTGAGGCTGTAATACATTCATTATACTCGTAGTTAGCAATTATCCAAGGCTAAAAGGTTTATTTGTTCAATTCATAGTATCGATAAATTACTATCGATATTTTTGATGCGAGGACATCACTTGCGAGTTGCGTCTTAGGTAGGTAAATAAAATTTCAATCATAAAGTA